GGAGGCAGCGTGCGGTGGGCGGGAGCCGCGCACGGCGGGGACGCTCTGGGGGCGGGGTGGGAGGATGCGCTGGGGGGGCAGGGCCCCTGGCTCTGTAACTCGCCGGCACTTCCGGGTTCAGGGGTGCGGGGCCTGAATCGGCCTAAGGCCAGCCCTGCCGGCAGCCACCAGCCATGCTGAGGCCCGGTATTTTTTTCCCACGGCCCGATAGCAGGCCGCAGCCCATAGTTTGGGAAACGCTGCTCTAGAAGGAAGAGCTGAGGGAATAATTTCTCACCCCAGATATTAAAACTTCAGCAAAGGAATATAATTCAGGTGATTAAGGCTGGTATTTTCAAAGGAAGTTAAGGGAAATAAAGTGCCTTAATCCCATGGAAACACCTTTGAAAATTCCAGCCTAGAAATGCATCAGGAGCCTAAGTTATTGCTGAGGGGAGGGTACACGCTAGGCAGCAAGATCACAGCCAGCCTGCAGCATGAGAGGTCGCTACTGCAGTACAGCCTAAGATCAGCATCCCAACTTGATAGGGGCTGTACAAACACAGCCATTAGCAGTACCTGGCATGACTGTTCCTAGGTCATTTCAGGGGAAAGTTGCCCACAGCTTTCAGAACCCCAAATTCCTTTCCAGAGAACACAAATTTCTTGGTAATTTCTATGGGACCACCAGAAACAGCAATGGGAGCTATGCACCCTAATATAGAATAGCCCCTTTCTAAGGCATTTGGAGCCCAAAACGTGTGTTTCTCGAGACAGAGAGGGAGTTTTTAAAAGTGTACATTTGTCATAGAGGTGTACAGTCCCCCTAATGGGTGTCCAACTCGTGGCTCTGGAGCCGCATGTGACTCTTTGCTCATAGAAATGCGGCTCTTATGAGTTAGGGCTACCATACGTCTGGGTTTTCCCAGGCATGTCCTAATTTTCCTATGTTAAATTGCTGTCTGGCCAGCTCTTTTAAAAACATAAAAAATGTCCGGGATTTGGGGAGGAGGCGGTGGCACCTGCCTTCTAGGGAACATTCAGCTGTGTTTCTGAACCGCGTGCCTGAACAGTTCATGGCCGCCCCAGCGCCTGGAGGGAAAAGTGCATGGTAGCGGTGGCAGCAGCTCCAGTGAGACCCTGTGTGTTAATAGAAGAATCTGGGGCTGCCCGGCTCTGGGGAAGGGGAGGGGAATTGGTTTAGAGCAGGAGGGCTGGGGTGCATGGCTCTGAGGGAGGGGTGGGTGCACTGCGTTAGTGCAGGGGGACTGGGAGCACCTGGCTCTGGGGGAGGAGGAGGGCGTTGGGTTAGAGCAAGGAGGCTGGGGGTGCCTTAGGGTTATAGATATATAAAAATTAATATATAATACGTGCCTTATAATCTAGATATATAAAAATATATCATATGTGGCTCTTTGCACTGCTATCCACACCTATTTTGGCTCTTAGTCTCTAACTGGTTGGCCACCCCTGTCCTAATGCAATGGAGCTTGGCCTGTCAGCACTCCCTCAAAACAAATACATGACTGTTTATAAAGAACCGCCCTAAAAATCAGATCAGCATCGTCCCAGGGAGATTTATCACTACAGTATCAAGCTGTTCAGTGCTGTGCTAATGACTTAATTGAATGTCTCCTGAGCTTGTTCATGGCATGCATCTGGATAATGTACATGGATACAGTTTAACTAAGATACAGTTTGCAAAATAAATGACGGAGTTTAGTGTGTTTATTTTCAAGAGCATGAAAACCCTACACATTCTCTTTTCTGGTCAAATGCCAATTTGTTACACTCCGAAGGAGAACTGCACCAGTGAATGCAGCGCGGGTTGCCATAATTCACTGCAAAAGCAGCACTTCTGTTAGAAACAGGTATCGGGGCCAATCCAACAGTCCTTGCTCAGCTGAATCTCCCAATGAAATCACTGGTACTGTGGCCGAGAAAGGGACTGCACTATCAAACCTAGAATTGGCACTTCCCCCTGACCAGCTTCATGCTACAACCTCAGCAAGTCGTTCTTTGGTTCCACTGGCTTTTTATTTTTGTATGGATGATGGTAGCTCTAGAAATCCCTTACAGCATTTTTCTAGCAATTACTGCATAAGACTTAATTTTTTTTTGAAGTTTTTGAGCAGAAATTAAAATTGGGCTGCATTCAGGAATGCAGCACTTCACTTTAAAAGGCTGTTGAATTTCTTCTTTACACAAATAATTTAGAGGTTATAAATTCCAAAGACATATTTGGTTACACGCATCATCTATTTACTCTAAGGTGGTCTGCACTTATGGCTTAACAATGTAATCAACTTCCTCTTCTGTGGAATACAGCTCCATCTCTGGGGGGGGGGGGGGGGGGGAGGAATAGATCAGTGAACAAAGCATTTTAGTCTGATTTGTTACTGTAACAGGCTAAAATCCTATGAATTAAAATTAAGTTGGATATATATTAACATGACTGCAAAATCAATCTCTAGACTGCAAACAAATGCATACTTACACTCCCCAGCAAACCATGATGCTGCAGCCATAAAATGGGAACAAGTCAGAAATCACATTCATTAACACATCTTTGCAGTTTACTAAAGACAGGAAATAGCAGCCCCAATCCTGCAAATATGCCTGTGAATAATTTTACTCATGTGAGTAATCCCACTGAAATCGAAGGGACAAATCTTCTCTCTCTAGAGGGTATGTCTACACTACCCCGCTAGTTCGAACTAGGAGGGTAGTGTAGACATACCCTCTGATAGCTGGGGATCAATAAGGCTAGGATTACAGTGAATACAATTGTTATGAAAACAACCAGGAGGTTTATTTGGTTCTTGCATCTGAAGAAGTGGGTTCCAGCCCACCAAAGTTTATGCGAAAATAAATGTGTTAGTTTTTAAGGTGCCACCGGACTCCTTGATGGTTTTGAAGAAAGAAACTAAACAGTTTATATTCCTCTGAAAACTCTTGTAAAGTTATTCACAGGTGTGTTTGCAGAATCAAAACCACACACACGCCTCCAATTAGCAAACCCCTGTAAATACCTAACTCCATCAGATGGGGAGCAAGAAAGGGGGGGGGGGGTCCAAAAGATATCGACTAACTTTTTTAAAGGTATTATTTGCATTAGCATGGGAAGCATCTATTCCTATATAGCCAGGTCCAGGTTTCAACGCTTACTCCCAGGCTCCACTGGGCTGCATTAAAAACCCCAATAATTATCCCAGCCCTGGAAAAAAACAGCAGCAGGGGTGCCCCTCTCCCCGCACACCTACTGTGTAAAGTTTCCTTCAAGCCAGCCCCCCTTTGCCCCCTTCCTACCGGAACGAGACTCTGCTGCAAAGCCGCAGGTTGAAGCGCTTGCTCAACACCCCGCTTGCAGCCACGTACAGGAGCAGCTTCCCTGGCCCCTGATGCTAGAGGGGAGAGACTCGCGCGCACCTTCTGTGGCTGGCGGCAGATCCCGGGAGCCTCGCGCCAGCAGCGGCTCCTTGCAGCAGGGCGCTGGGGTCTGAGCGCCGGAGCGCGGAGTCAGGGGACAGGGGGGCTCAGAGGGCGGGGGCTGCTCTGGGCGGGGAGCCGTGGGGGTCGCGCGGGGCAGCACGGGGGCGGTGCACGTGGGCGGGGCGGGCGCGCTGGTTGCACCCAGGCGTCCGCCCTGTGCACGGCGGCGGGTTGGAGGGGGCTGGTGGCCGCGGGGGGCAGCTCAGGCTGCAAGCAGGAGGCGGGAGGGCAAGGAGGGGCGCCCCCGCTAAAGAAGGCACAGGGGCACCCTCCCAGGCTCAACCTGTGTGTCCCGAGCAGCAGCCCTTGGAAAGCTACTAAGTCTGTGTCTATGCAGCGCCTGACACAGCTGGCCACAGGGCTCCTGGCTGGTTTTAGATACAGACTAACAGGGGCTACCCCTCTGAAATAAAAGAGGTGGCCCATCAAGGCCTGGCCTTGGGTCACAGAGTCCCTTCACACTGCCAGTTCAGGGAAGTTCACCAACTTTGAAGCCGGAAGCATCTCAGGGCACTACTGGGAACCTGCTTGTCACAGAGTATGCCTGGGTTTTGCGGGTGTGTTAGCTTGTAGGTATCTGCCAGGGATACCAGGACAGGCATTCCATATCATTTCAGATTGCACATACTTTACAGACACTGTGCCCAGGACATGTAGTTGGAAATTCAGCAAAGTAGCACAGGGCCATGGACAATCATGCTGGGGACAACAGAGCTAATTCAATTCCAATAGAAGTCAAACTCCTCAGTCCCCACTAGAACCAGAACACATGGATTTTCTGCTATTCTCAAGTACTGTTCATATTTCCCTAGCACTGTTTTGCAAGGAGATGCAATGCAAATAAACAGCACATTCCCTCATCTGACTCAGACATCAGCCTCCACTGCCCATCCAAACATACCCTGAAGTTTTTGCTGATGGTTCAGTTGCATTGTTTCATCCTTGTACTTGGACTCAGAGTTTTGAGCACAGAGAAATGTGTTATTTAACTAAGAAGCCTGGAGGGAATGATCAAATCTATACTAAAAAGGCACAGCATAAACTAAGGCCCGAGAAGAAGGGATAATATTATTTCAATTCGTGTTCATTAAAAGGAACAGTATCAAGTAAAAAAAATCATGTCCTTTTAAACACCTCTTCATGTTACTCAGAGCACCTTTAATCATTAAATCTGAAAACATTCACATTTTCTTTTTGCTGTTTAGTCTGTTTGTTTTCTACTTGCCTTCACCCAAGTCGGGCTATGAAAACACGTTAGTCAAATTCACTTTTGTGAACATTTCCCTTTGTGGATCTCATTTTGCTGGGTGGCAGGGTCCCATAAATACCTCAGAAGGTAGATGGATAACGTCCATTCTTCTTTTTCAAAAGCTTTTTCAGTGCCACAGGGAGTCATGGCCTTTCAGATAATCGAAAGCAGGTTGGCCTGTAGGCTAGGCCTGGGACTTGGGCCCATTGAAGGATCTGAGGGGCCCAGATTTTCCTGGAGGGATGTTTGTTCATCTAGTAAAAAGAAACTGAAGCACTGCCATACTGTCAAAACACACTCCTCAGTGTAGCATTTTCATTTTCCAAGCCCTTCTTCATTTTACTATTATTCTCCATAAAAGCAGGGGACTTTGGCAGAGTCAACTAACTCCAGTAGTCCTGATTTAACAGGATTCCTGCCATGCTAGAGAACTTGTGATGATGGATGGTTGAAAGCCCAAATTATCATTGCTGAGAGCATGTGTCAACCATAGACAAAACACAAGGATTTGAAATACCATTTTTCTTACCACAGGTTTGTTGAAATGTAACATTCTGGGTGAAGAGTGGTGGAAAAACGCAGCAGGAACAAAAGAAAGGTGTAGTCAGCCATGGGCTTTCCTCAAGGGTGAGTGGCTGATGAGAAGTCAAAACAAAACAAAAAGATTAACAGAAAACTGCTGTAGTCTGTCCAGTTTTATAATCCAGGCTGTCTTTGCACAGATATCCTGTGAACTCTGATAGATGGAGAATGATTCCTGACAGGACAATAACATGGGGACAGTAAAACTAGTGGCCAATGCACTCAAAACTACTACAAGGAATATCTTTTCCACACAATAGGCAGTTACTCCATGGAACTCTTTGCCACAAGATATCATCGTAGCCAAGACTCACAGGCTTTTTTTAAAGAATCGGACATCTAAATGGACAACAGGAACATTCAGGGTTATAAAACAAAACACACCTAAGTGCCTCAGAAGGATTATAAATATTAAAGTGTTGGGCTTTAACTAACATTAATAAGCCAAAATAGCTAATGGATGGGGGTTGAGTGGATGACTTGATTATTATCTGAAGCACTGTCAGAAGACAGGATACTGGGCTAGATGGACTACAGGTCTAACCTAGCAGGGCAGGGGTAGGCAATAAAACAGTGGCAGTTCACCAGAGTTAGCTCCTGATGGGCTGCTGCCTGTCTTTGCCTGTGTTTGCAGCTAGCTCTCTTTGGTCTGTAATGGCGAACTGCCATCAGCGGAATCTGTGATCCCCTGTACCCGCAGAGGTGCAGGTAAATGCAGCAGTATGGGGGCCTGCCAGGGGCTAACCCTGACAGACTGGATCTGGCCTGCAAACTAGTATTTGCCCACCCCTGAAGTAGGATCATTCTTATGGTCTTAAGCTCTTTTTCCAGTTTATCCCATTACTGACACCATCGCAAGCAGCATTTCTTCCTCTGTATAGGTCGCACTGGCCACTATCAATGGATGATACTGGCCTGTGGTCTGACCCAATACAGCAACTGCTGTCTCTCCCAAACTTGTAATCTTTCCCTGTGAACTTGCACAAACTAAGCTGAGGTTAACTCCTTGTTTCCTTTGCTCCCCTGCCTGAGTCACAGAGCTATGAAACATTTCAGTGTTGATCCTGCATTCCATGTACTGCCAGAATTCCTTTTGACGTCATGGAATGTTTTAGGTGCAGACGGTCTGCTGGACAGGACCCTTTACTGAAATGGGAGGGGATGCCTTGTTATCCTTTGAGTAGTGGATTTGGAAGGATATGGGAGCCCCTTGAAGAAGGCATGTCCCAGCTGGCCAGGTCAGTGAGCTAATTATGAACCAATCTGGAACTCTTACTGGGCTAACATACAGGGAACTCCACTACTCACTGAGCTTTTCCATAGTTACATCCAAAGATAATCTATACTAGATTCTGTACAGGAAAATTACAGAGTAACCAGAAGTGTCTTCAGGACAATCCAAGGTAGCAGCAATTTTCAAGGTTTCAAATTTTGTTTTGCATTCCACTGTGGAACAAAAACCAAAATCTACCCAACATTTTCAAAAAAGACTGAAACCGGGTCAAAGTTTCTCTTGGCAGACTGAACACTAAGATTTTGTTCCCCTATTGAGGGGGGGTTTCTGAGCCCAGCCTCATGACTAGGGTATTAGCCTGATCCAAATTTCAATCAGAGCAGAGATTTTCCAGCCCAAATCATTTTACATCAGGCAGGACTTGAACTTAGGCTGGTCCATAGCCCAGAACCGTTCCCAATTAACTGCACTATGCAGTCACTCACAGGCAGGCTTACGCTAAACTTTGTCAAAGCTAATATGTTCAAATAAACTTCTTTAAAGCTATTTGAACCTGCACTGCCTGTAACATAGAATCCTGGCTGTGAGCTTGTTTAGACTGAGCATTAACATGTGGGAAGCAGCTGAGGAGGCGGCACCCAGTGAGTACTGTTGAGAAACTGCACCTCCACAACTAGCACCCTCACTTATGGATTTGGATAAGAATCAATTCTCTCCCACCCTTTTCAACATCTACATACAACCACTAGCTAAACAGGTCAGACAACGTGGACTCCAGGGCAAGCACTATGCAGACACAGAACTCAGTGTCGATCTATCCTTCACCACGTACGACTGTATCAATACCCCCAAGAGGTCACAGTGGTTGGAGGAGATCAGCTTGTGGATGAAGAACAGATGGCTGAAGCTGAACCCAAGCAAGCCAAAGGTGATGCTGGTGGACAAAGGAAAGCATGTTAAGAATCTTGCAGCCATGTTACAGTCTCCTTTGGTTAAGGATGCATGTTCAGTTGGGCAAGTTAGTCCTAGTTTATGGATACTGGGCTAGATGCACCATAGGTCAGACAATAAGAATGGCCCTACTGCAGAGGTGGCCAACCCATTTAAGAAAGAGAGACAAAACAGCAGTGGAAAAAATGCAAAGAGCCACACCAGAAATTGTTGAGAAAAAAAAAGGAGGCTGCCCCTTTAAGAAACAAGCTTAGGCTTTTTGGCCGTATCAGGTTCCTGTCAACGGCTGCCATCTTTGGTGCCATTTTGAATCGCCGCCCCAGTGAGCACAGGGGAGCTGAGGAGGAGCCAGGGGTGGGGGCTGTCGGGTGGGGGGCCGCTGCAGGAGCGGCTTCGCGAGCCACACTTTTGGGGGAGAAGCGCCTCCTGCAGCTTGCGAGCCACAGGTTGGCCACTCCTGCCCTCCTAGGTCATTGTCCAGGGTAGTTAATCCCATTCCTGCCACCACTGCTGGTAGCATTTCTTCCTCTGAACAGGTGGCACTGGCCATCGTCAATGGACAATATGGATTCCTGGTCTGATCCAGTACAGCAACTATTGTCTCTCTCAAGCAGCCAGTTTATAATCCTTCCCTGTGAACATTTGCACTGTCTCCTAGATTCCTTACTGACACAAAGCTCTCACATAGCAGGATTCAGTAGCAATGCTCCAGTTGGCTAGGAGACTCCATTCCATGCTGGCCTCAGTTATTCATGCCTTTGTCATTCTCAACTGGGCTAAAGCAATCCGAAATACCTGGGCATGAAGCCTTCAGCACTTTGGAAACACCAACTAATTTGAAATGCAGCAGTACATCTTAGCATCGCAGGCTACCTTGAGCACATGAGACCTGTTCTCCTCACTTTA